ATTACTTAAGCATGCATTCAACTTTAAGCAGATGAATAAATCCATTGACTTCAGTTTAAAATGTGTATATTTCTCCAAGATTTGTTTATAATGGATGCTTATAGTAAGTTAGCCTTTAGGTAATGAGTTATCTCAATGTACCAGTACAACCATATCCCTGCAGAAAAATAGTTTAAAGACCATTCTCTGAACCCTAACAGTTCCATAACAGACTTAAGACATGTGAGCAAAGTATTCCCAAGAAAGAGAACTGGTAAATACTAATAAACCAGTCAGCGCTGATTACCTTGATGCACAACTCCTACAGTTCATATGGAGTTTGTTGTCAATTATTTGGCTCACATTATCTGGTAAAACTAATGTTTCTTTTGCTATGGAAGCAAAGGCAAACTGGCACTTCCACTTCATGCATAAGTTATTCCTTTAGAACCTATAAGCAAGAACATTAGCAAAATAGGAGGTATAACAGGTAGAGAGACAGAGCTACAGACTGTCACTGGATGGAATTGTGAAGGCTCTAGACTAGGATGTTCCATAACTATTAACTAGAATGATTTAAGAGAGGACATTAGAGAGGGAAATATAAACATCTAGGTGGGTGAGGATGGTGAAGAGGACATGGGAAGCCAACAGCAGAACTGGGGCATCACCACTAAAGTCAAGAAGAGTTGCATGCACCTTAGTATTAAAATTCATAACACAACTGAAGAACTTGTTCACAAAGGTAACAAGAGTACTTAACCATTTAAAAAAAGACAGACCATACAGTTCACAATCAAATCTGTGCCAACTGCATTTACAGCAGAGCAGATTACCAAATTATATGCAATCAGACGCCAGACCATCCTGTTACACTGAAATTGCACAATCGGGATTCAGAGGTAAAGTCATCACTAATTCTGATGAAAAGAGACTCTGTGGAGCCATTTTGCTTGATCATCAGTAAGTTTTTGACATTGTTCACTACAGGGTAATAATTAACAATTAGCTCTGATGTAGCTTTTAAATGGGTTCCAAGTTACTTTTCTCAGAAAAGAAGTGAAAGATATTTATGGAAGAATTACTAGTGAACTATTTTGGCTGATGTTATAAAGGAGGTCAGAATAGATTATAATAATAGTCCTTTATGGCGTTGAAAACTATGAATCAACATAACGATTGTGTACATGGTGATTGATATTCTATCATGGCTTGACTATAGCAGGGCTCTGCTTCATGCCATTTATTGATTTCAGTGCATATGAATGGTCTTTCCAGTACTAGAACTAAATGTTGTTGGTTTCTTGCATGGTGTCATGTCACTACTATAGGTACACAAGTCATTTGTGATGAGAGAAGATGTTTTAATTCTTGCTTGTCCAGAGGACTAAATTCGTCATGGATGTTTTCATTGACTATAATTCTAATTATACATAAGCATCCTAAGGCCTAATTTGGTCCAGAGTATCAAAATGTCTCATCAGCCAGCTTTTTCTTTATATGAAAGTATGCCACAACATTTAATATCATTTTTGTAAAACTCTCAACCCACATGCTGATCAAGTCATTGGACTAAACTTTTTGTAGTTCTGTTCAGATATGTAGGATTTATATGAGCATATGGTATTTCTGGCATAGTACATTTACATATGATGCAGGGGTGTGTGGTTCACTCAGTACTGAGCTTTGTTCTAACTGAAAGAATGTACGTCTATATAAAAGCATATGCTGAAGAAAAGCTTTAGCTTATTATGGCCTCTGACAAATTCTTATTTTCTCTCGTTATTATCCAAAGAAATCTGGTTTGAATGTGTTTTATGTTGCAGTTTATTTTGCCACCTTATCAAATAGACACTGTGAACTTGGTGTTCAACTATTGTGGGTTAGCTATTGTGGCCTCACTGAAGTTAATGGATGCTAAGGATGAATTAATGTTTATAAGCACAGAAAGTGAAAGGTTCTGGGAAAGTGCCTAGTAAAATTATTTTGGGGATGCTGTGTGTGTCTGTACTCTTAAAATGGTTCTTCACCATCTGTAAACCTCGTCCACATTGGGCAAATGGTTCTCCAAAAAAAGCCATGTTTAGTGCATCACTGCTCTGAATTCTGTTGCCCTCATGTATTTTTGATCCTGCACTACATCAGTACTTGAAGGGATTATTGGGATTAAAAACAATTCTTTAAAGCAGGAGAGCTAGAATTTTCCTAAAAAGACTGGTGACAGCTTAATATATATATTTTAAGGATCTTACAGCAATGACATGAATTAAGTGAATAATGCCATATCTGCAAAACAATACATGTTATTTCCATAATAATGGATAACAGTCTCTATTGTCATGCAGCCAAAAGTGCCACAGAGGGAATTTACAAATCCTTGTAATCAATAGCAGTTCCGAATATTGAAAAACCAACAAACCACTACCTTCCTCAGGTTTTAGTCTGTCAAATTCATTTAACTATGAAATTAGGCAAACCAATGGTATAGTGTCCATATACATGAGTATCAAATAAAACAGCACTGAAACGGAATTATCATAGTAGCCTTTAATGTTTATTATTAGATATGAAAAAAAATAAAAAGAAGTAGTTACCAGATTCAAAGCTCCATAGTGTAGGTGGCTCCCTCCTCCTTCTGCAAAAATCGAAAGACTGTTTTTCATACTAATTAACATACCAAATGTTTATTCTTTAGTAGACACTTTATTTTAGTATTGTATTATTTACCCAGGCCTTGTCTTTCCTGAGATTTCAGACTGCATGTTTCTATTTGCCCGTGTGGTATTTTGTTTATCTCAGAGGCATTGTTTCTCTGGTTCAGGTGAAAAGACTTGCACACAGCTAGGAGGGTTCTTTAATTAAGTTGGCCCCAACTAGCTCAGAGTGCCTGGCAACTGGATGTTCTTGCAAGACAGGTAGCTGTGGATATTGTACTTTAATTAGAACTTTTTTGTGTTGTATCCCCAGCTATGAGAGCTGTGACCTGTCAAGCTGCTGGGAGACTGTCCCCTCGTGATAGTGAATCAGCTCTGAGCCTGAGATTGACACTTTGTATCCAATTTGTATAAGATTGCTTGAGGTGGTTTTGCTTTTCGAGCTGTGTTTGTTTACCAAAGGAGCAGGAAATCACAAATCTGCTAATATATGAGCATATTTGTGTTAGGTAGGTAGTCCTACTTGCCTGACCTAAATCTTTCGCAAACACTTTTGGATTGCTAGTGTTGCCTACCTCTGGATGTTTTGTTTTAAATTTGTAAGGTTTTAAGCCTTCGAGCTTGATGCCCACACCAGTGGTAGGTATGGGAGTGGTACAGCCACAGTGGAGAAGGTACCTGGGCTGGAAGCTGGCTCCTGTGAGCAGCGGCCAAACATGCTGCTGCTGTTGCCGCTGCAAGTTCTTGGTGGAGCCCTGCAGCTCTACAGATTTCTGCTTTATATACATGGGTATCTGCATCCATGGATAGCACCTGTGAAGGATCTATGGATAAGAAGAACACTGGTGCCCCAAATTCAGTGGTGCCTTATGCAGCTGCATATGTCACATATGTCTAAAGATGGCCCTTACTGACCTCAAAGCCAGTATGTAGTAACCTACATAGGCAATATAGCCATTAATAGTTGTAATTGAGATCAATATCTTGAGCATATATTGGCAGTCCTACAGGCCTGCAAGCAAGCAGGCCTCATGGCGAACCAGGCCAAGTGCCGATTGGAATTTCATTAGGTAACATACCTCAGATATGCTATCAGGAAGGACAAATATAGACCTCTGGATGAAAAGGTCTAGACCTTGATTGATTGCCCAATCCCATCAACAAAGAAACAAGTCAAATGGTTTTGGGGCCTGGCTGGCTACTGTAGACCATTCATACCTAGATTAATCATAATAGTAGCACCCGTTGCTTACTTAGTTAAGAACTCTAGCCCCAAGAAAGTCAATGGTCTGTGGGCTATGACAAAGCCTTCAACACCTTGAAAGATCTTCGGAGCACAGTACCAGTCCTCTTCCGTCCGTGGCAATTCACGTCCATCAGGAGTGGCAAGTGGCCTTAACCCGTATAAAGTGACAACTGTATGGGCAAATCCCCAGCCTCACCCCCAGTTCCGCCCTTTCTACCAAGGCCCTGCCCCCACCATGGGGAGGCAGGGCAGTACAAAGCTGCCATCCTCTCCAGCACGAGAAGGGCACCCCCAGCCTCCCTGGCTCTGAAGCACAGGGAGGGAGGATGGTGCACTTCTCCACCCTCCCTGGCCCCAGAACATGGGGAGGGTGGATGCTTAGGGGCAGCAACACTCTGCCCCAGTTTGTCTGGGCCAGGCTAGTGGCTTGGAAAGGTGATGCCTTCTCCCATCTAGCATATTGGCTGCCCATGGCCAGTGGGCACCCAGGGGCTAACCCTAGCGAACTGCCTTGAGCTCATTGCCCACCCTGCTTTAGAAGGAAACATCCAATCTTAACAAAAATGCTTTTAACATCTAAACAATACATGTTACATTAGATGAGTCGGCTGATCATTGTACATGCCTTTTATAGTTTAAAAAGAAATACCAAAAACTAAAATCTAATTTGAAACATTAAAAATCCAATGAAAACAGTTCTTTTTAAACAAATGGACATTGTTCTGCAATGTATGGAACCCAGTTACTGCATCACTGATATTTTGAAGCTGAAATGAATAAAATCAAAAGGTAAATGGACTCCCCTTGATTTTCTTTGTCCAGCTGAGTATAAACAGAGCATACATAATTGCAAGTCAACTGAATTTTATAGTTTTCTCACTTGTAATAATCTAAAGTGATATTAGTAGCACAGATAACAAAATCTGTTTAAAGCACCCCTTCCAGTATATTAGAATTTGCACATTGGTAGAAGGGTTTGCATGGTAGTTTCTGACTTCTTGATTAATTTTGCCTAGTGTTAAAATGCAATGGAATGTATGCCCAAGTTTCTGAATAACGAGTAAGCATTATGATGCAGTATTCATTGCAATAATGACCTAACCTATTTTTTTTCACTCCAGGATAACATCCAACCTGACCGCATTATAGACTACATGATGCAGAAGTCCAAAGGAAAAGCACCTGCTTTGACCCATCAAAAGTATGCTGAGAATCCTGCAGTGAGGACCTTCAAACAGCCTCAACTGGACAACTACCCACTAGAGTCAGATGCAGAGCTTGACAGAAACGCTCTGATTGCTGCACTACAGGCCTATGTCTCTCAAAAGATGGCAGCACGGAACAACAATAAAAGCTCCGCTGGCAGGACTAAATGGTCTAACTTCTATGTTAACAGGTTCCGTCCAGCTCAGACTGGTCATTTTGATGCCAAACAAGAGACCGAAGATTTTAAAATGAAGCAGCCATTCCTGCAGGGACCTGGAGGTGTAGTGCTGGGACCAAGTTCAGAGGTGTTGAGTTATAAATCTGCTTCTCAGGGTGATCCTAAAGATCCTCTGAATGAAGTGGATGGTAAGATTTATATTTATTTTTTATCATTCCATTATGTGTCCTAAGCATGTTTCCAAAGTTATAGTAGACATTATCAGAATTAAAATAATTGTGTAGAATAAGCCTACCTCGTACCACTGAGATATTTATGTTTATCGATCACTATACTCAAAATCATAACAGCCTTAATCTAACCATTCCTTTCCTGAGCACTGCTTCCCACATCCTTCAACCCATTCTCTTCTTATGCACGTGAAAAATAATCTGCATGTTGTATTACCTTCCACTTATATAACTTTGTACATTTTCAAAGCACTTTCTAAACAATAACTAAGGCTGTGTCTAGACTGCAGGGTTTTTTCGAAAAAAGTAACCTGCGTCTAGACTACAGCCGCGTTCTTTTGAAATTAAATCGAAAGAACGCGGCTTTTCTTTCGACGGCGGTACTCCTCATTTCACGAGGAAGAACGCCTTTTTTCGAAAGTGCTCTTTCGAAAAAAGGCATTCTTGAATGCAGACAGGGCTTTTTCGAAAGAGAGCATCCAGACTGCCTGGGTGCTCTCTTTCGAAAAAGCAGCTCACTTTTTCAAAAGAAGAGGTTACAGTCTAGATGCTCTCTTTCAAAAGAGGCTTGTAGTCTAGACGTCCCCTAACTGTGGACATTGATTTGCACTCAACTCTGCTTTCATGCATCTCTGTCATATTGCACACTGTATGCAAGGGTAGAACTGTCTCATTGGTTTTGGCCTTCTGTTCTATTTGCCTGTCCATTGGAGGACTCCTGATAAAATGAAAAGTTAGCCAAAAGAGAATAATGCTGAAGTATGTTAAGAAAGAAACACTGCATGCAACATGTGTAGGCTGTCCATTCCTGAAGACCTAAGATACAGGAGGATGAGAAAGCGACGAGGAGTCCTGTGGCACCTTATAGACTAACTGAAGTGTAGGAGCATAAGCTTTCGTGGGCAAAGACCCACTTCGTCAGATGCATGTAGTGGAAATTTCCAGAGGCAGGAATAAATATGCAGGCCAGGATCAGGCTGGAGATGACCAGGTGGATCCAATCAAGGAGGATGAGGCCCACTTCTAGCAGCTGATCTGGAGGTGTGAATTCCAAGAGAATAGAAGCTGCTTTTGTAGTTAGCAAGCCATTCACAGTCTTTGTTTAATCCAGAGTTGATTGTGTCAAACTTAAAGATGAACTGTAGCTCAGCAGTTTCTCTTTGAAGTCTGGTCCTGAAGTTTTTTTGCTGCAGGATGGCTACTTTTAGATCTGCAATTGTGTGTCCAGGAAGATTGAAGTGTTCCCCTACAGGTTTTTGTATGTTGCCATTCCTAATATCAGATTTGTGTCCATTGATTCTTTTACGTAGGGACTGTCCTGTTTGGCCGATGTATATAGCAGTGGGGCATTGTTGGCACATGATGGCATATATTACGTTGGTGGATGTGCAGGAGAATGTACCAGTGACAGTATGGCTGGTCTGGTTAGGTCCTGTGATGGTGTTGCTGGTGTATATATGTGGGCAGAGTTGGCACCGAGGTTTGTTGCAAGGATTGGTTCCTGAGTTCGAGTTATTATGGTGCGGTGTGTAGTTGCTGGTGAGAATATGCTTCAGGTTGGCGGGTTGTCTGTGGGCAAGGACCGGCCTACCTCCCAAGGCCTGTGAGAGCGAGGGGTCATTGTCCAGGATGGGCTGAAGATCACTAATGATGCGTTGGAGAGGTTTTAGCTGGGGACTGTAGGTGATGGCCAGTGGTGTTCTGTTGGTTTCTTTCTTGGGCTTGTCCCGTAGCAGGAGGCTTCTGGGTACACGTCTGGCTCTGTCAATCTGTCTCCTCACTTCCTCGTGTGGGTATCGCAGTTTACAGAATGCTTGTTGAAGGTCTTGTAGGTGTAGGTCTCTGTCTGAGGGGTTGGAGCATATGCGGTTGTACCTCAGTGCTTGGCTGTAAACAATGGATCGTGTGGTGTGTCCGGGATGGAAACTGGAGGCATGCAGGTAAGTATAGCGGTCGGTAGGTTTTCTGTATAGGGTGGTATTGATATGACCGTCACTTATTTGTATCGTGGTGTCCAGGAAATGGACCTCCCGTGTAGATTGGTCCATGCTGAGGTTGATGGTGGGGTGGAAGCTGTTGAAATCATGGTGAAATTCTTCCAGAGTCTCCTTCCCATGGGTCCAGATGATGAAGATGTCATCGATGTAGCGTAGGTAGAGAAGGGGTGTAAGTGGACGAGAGCTGAGGAAGCGTTGTTCCAGGTCAGCCATAAAAATGTTGGCGTATTGTGGGGCCATGCGGGTGCCCATAGCAGTGCCACTGGTCTGGAGGTATATGTTGTCACCAAATCTGAAATAGTTGTGTGTGAGGATAAATTCACAGAGTTCAGCCACCAGTTGTGCTGTGGCATCATCAGGAATACTGTTCCTGACAGCTTGTACTCCATCTGCATGTGGGATGTTTGTGTAGAGAGCCTCTACATACATGGTGGCTAGGATGGTGTTTTCTGGAAGGAGGATGAGAGTTATAGCTAGAATTGGCTGAACTGTCATGCAAACAATTATTTGCCAAATTTGCTAAATATCCATGAGCAAATTTTAATGAATTTGTTTTATTTATATCCATATCACTTAATGACCTAGTGTAACATGTCATGGGATCTTATGACATATTTAAAGGGTGCTTGGGGTGAGGAGAGTTTGGAAAGTAGTGTTCCACTTGAATATTTGTCTGAACTAAACCAAGTACTGATGTTACTGCTGCATTTCAGGGTGCCTGAATCAATCTCTCACACTCTGCTGTGCATGTGCATTTGATGCCTTACAGTTGATCTTGCTCTCTTAATTCCAGCTAATCCCCATCTGATCATACATAAAAAGGACTTTCATGAGTCCCTTCCATATTTTGCAGTGCTAACAAAGTATTTTCTTCTTTGCTTTCTTTTAAAACACAAAATTGCTGAAACTTTGGCTTTTTGTTTGAAGGGAGACAATGTCTGCAATCCAAAGGAAGTCCAAAGTGAAAGCATTCTCAGTATGGGTCCTGGAGATTATAGGTTTCAGGGAACAAACTGTAATGTAAATGTAATCCAGATGGCACTGTAGGATTTTGCAACAGGTTGCACAGTTTTGCTGCTACACTCAAAGAAAACTAGGCCCATGCTGGTTTCACTGTCCTCCAACTGTTCCATTCACCTTTCCTAGCAGGAGTCAACAGGCAACAAAATACTTAACACTTACACTGAATAACATGTTTCACAATTCATTGGGTTGTGCTTCTTTGACTTTCACATGCATAATTAATCCTGCAGTCACAGAGTGTTTTGCTAGCTTACTTTTACATATGCTGTTATATAAACTTATTCAATGTCCTGAAATATCAATAGTATTGCTGGGGGCTTCTTTTGCTTTTTGCTTGTTTGAGTTGTTTACTAAGTCCTTTAAGGTACCTGTGAGGTAATGCATCAATCTATTCATAGTATCAAGTAGAAATGGTGACAGAAATTATGATGGATGAGAACTGAATCTGCCAATGTGAGCAGTTTTCGTGCCTCTACCAAAATTACAAAATTCTAGCTAGAGGTTTAGCCTAACCAAAAGAAGATTGATATGATTATTCTCTGTGAATACATCAGAGAAATAAATATAAGGGGGGGGGGAGAGGAATTATTTTAGTTAAGTGCCAATGTGGACACAAGAGAAAATGGCTATAAACTCACTAAGAACAAGTTTAGGCTCAAAATTAGGTGAAGGTTTCTAATCACCAGAGGAGTGAAGTTCTGGAACAGCGTTCCAAGGAGAGGTAGGTGTGTGTGTGTGTGTGCTTCAGCCATGACCTTAATAGTTTTATGAAGAGGATGGTATGATGGATTTACCAACAATGGCATGTAGCCCATTGGTGACTGCCAGTAGTAAAAATCCCCAACTGCTGGATAAGGAATATTAGATGGGGATGGCTCTGAGTAACTACATACAATTCATTTGCAAATATCTGCTTGGTGGGTTTGTCCAGTTCTCAGGATTGAACTGATCACCGTATTTGGGGTAAGAAAGGAATTTTCCTCCTGTTCAGATTGGCAAAAACTGCATGTGTGTGAGGAGGGAGAGGGGGATTCACCTCCCTCTGCAGCATGGGTCACTTTCAGGTTTTAACAAGTGTAAACTGTGAATTCTCTGTAACTTGAATTCTTTAAATCATGATTTGGGGACTTCAGTAACTCAGCCAGAGATTAGGGGTCTGTATCAGGAGGCGGTGAGATTTTGTGACTTGCAGTGTGCAGAAGGTCAGACTAGATGATCACAATGGTCTCTTCTGATCTTTATGTCCAGGAATCCATGGGGAAGATTTGCACTGCCCTGGATGGCAATAGTTGTACATCTGTGGAGAGATTTTGTTTCTTCCTTTGGCTTTCCCTTTCCTTCTCTGACTCTTCCCATCTCTCCATGCTCATACTATTCTTCTAATGTAGCTGATTATGTGGGCTTTCTGTACACATACAAACTGTCAGCCCATTCTTCTTCAGTCAGTCAAAGGAACAGCATTCCCTGTTTTTCCTGACATAGAAAGTCAAAGTGCCAACCACAGAAGTGCTCACATACTGAATAGAGCACAGAAGAGGCACCCCGCTCTAGTCACATGATTCAACAGAGGGGAAGAAAGAGTAGGTGACTGGCAGAACAACAGAGAATGGCTTGAGCAGATGATCAGTAAGGGTGTGTCTAGACTACATGGCTCCATCGACGGAGCCATGTAAATTAGGCAGGACGACAAAGGTAAATGAAGCGGCGATTTAAATAATCGCCGCTTCATTGAAATCAAAATGGCCTCCAAGGCTTACAGGATCTGCCGATGAAGGGTTCTGGGGTCAGCAGATCCCTGTCTAGACTGCCGCACTGTGCCGACAAACAGCTGATTGGCACAGTGCAGCGGCCATTTTGATTTAAATGAAGTGGCAATTATTTAAATCACCGCTTCATTTACCTTTTTCGAGTACACTAATCTAAATGGCTCCGTCGATG